GAAATGGGCTGACAGAATTCTACAGTGCTTGCGTGATGACAGAAAACTCAGCCTCTTCACTGTCACTTCTTCATCCTACATGGATCCTTCTGGTCTCAAGAGCATCACTGTCAGGGATCCTAAGAATCAGCAACCTCTCCTAGCATGTGGACAAACCCTGGTGCTTCTGCAGCGGCCCATGAAACCACCCTCAAGATTCATGAACCAGTGGACCCTGCAGCCCCCACAGGAGGCTGGGGGCCCTCCCTGGCCTGGACACCTGTGCTCAGGACCATCCTCTGCTCCTGCAGGGATGGTCAAGTGGATTTTCTTAGTACCTGTTTGCTGTATAAAAAACTTAAATTGGGCCAGGGATCTAGCTCAGTGGTTCCACTGCCTGCCTCAAAGTTTAAATTCATTTTAGGATTAGGTACATAAACTTTTTATTCCCCTCCCCCTCCCTACCCACCTCCATCTCTAAATCCCCTGAACTGTGGATTTTCTGACACAAACCTTTCTGCTCAGTCATTCCCAACACTGTACATGTTCACTTTTTAGAAACAGAAGATTTTGTAGAGTCTGAGGATGGAGAGGATATACTGTACACTCAACACCAGGTCAATATAAGTAATGTTGCTTTTCTCATGAGTGTGATCCCATTCCGAGGACCAAACCCAGGGTCTTGTGTGTGCAAAGCATGTGTCCTACTACGGAGTCCTTGGCCTATTTAAGATAATCATCTAACATACAAAATCTGTTTTGACAGGCTTTACATTAATGTGAAAGATTCTTCCACTGCCTGCTTCACAAGTGTAAGGTCCCAAGTTCAATCCCTGGTACAAAAAAAGAGAAAAGATTCTAGAAAAAAATCTTTCAGAAATTTAGTGCACTATATATATATATATATATATATATATATATACACACACACACATATATATATATATATATATAGGCACTATAGCAAAACCTACAAGAGCTCAAGTCTTTTATATAAAATGCAACTGTAAAAGCCAGGTGTGGTGGCTCATGCTTGTAATCCCAAGACTCAGGAGGCTGAGGCTGAGGCAGGGGTTATCAAACACAGACCACCTAAAAAGCGGGGGTGGTGGAGAAAATGGTATTGAAAATGGCATTTGCACACGATCTATTTACATATTTTAAATCACATCTAGATAACTTATACCACCATGCAAATATTATGTAAATTATTATCCCTTGCTGGTTGCAGTGGTACATGCCTGTCATCCCCACACTTTGGGAGGCTGCAGCAGGATTCCAAGTTTGAGTACCACCTCAGCAACTCAGTGAGACTGTTTCAAGAAAATAAATAAAAAGGGTTGGAGATGTAACCCAGTGCGAAGGTACTGGGTTCAAGCTCCTATCAAAAAAAAGTTATTAGGGAATAAGAATTTCTGTACATGTTTAGTACAGATTTCCCCCCTGGCTTTGATCTGTGAACGGCTGAACAGGTGCAGAACCCATGGATATGGAAGTGGAGGGTATTGTAAGATTTTTATTTTATTTTTTGGTATCAGGGATTGAACTCGGGGCCTTGCACCCGTAAGGCAGGTGTGGTGCCACTGAGTTAAATCCCTGGCCCTGTTATAACAGATTCAGTATTGTACCTTTCAGAGGTATGTCCTGCTATAATCCATATCACATTGTGAGGGGATAGAGATAATACTTGTTTCTAAACTATGTCTTGGTTCCTGCTAATCAGCCTTCAGAGTTCCACATCACAATGCTTTTGTGTAAGAAAATTAAAACAGCAGGATTCATGCATTTATTGATTTGACAAATACAGGAAAATGTGCAATCATCTATCAAAATTATATCTTACCATGAATTTGAAAGGTTACTTATAAAAAGTCCTATTCACAGTCTATCTGAACTCTGTACAAAGCAGTATCCACAGGAGTGGAAGCAATGACTGCAGGAGTGAATGACCCCACTGAAGCCCTCCTCCCGGCAGCTCCTGCGGCACTGGCCAGACAGTCCCGTACTCCATGCAGCTGCTTTGGAGCTGCCTAGTTTCATGGTCATGTATGTCGAAAGAAAAGGTGCTTTCTGGGAAATCTCTCCTGCTAACCAGACAAGCAGAAGTGCCAGCACCGCATTCCAAGACCCAGGGCAGATCCAGCATCCAGTTACTAGGCCCCGGAAAATAGCTTTGACATTCAAGAAAGGGATTCATCTCAGCACCGGTGCTTTGTATTAGGCAAATGTGAGGAGTTCCCTACCACGTGAGTGGGCTGTTCTGAAGAAAACGTGCAGTTGATCCTGAGCTGTGAGCTTGGTGAGTGTTAGTATGCTAGGCTCCAGTCAGCGATTTCAAAGAGGGCTGCAAAGAGCTGAACCCACCATGTTTAATCTGTTGTTTTGCTAATTTAAAAAGAGATGAGATCACAAGCATCACTTCTAGACTCAAATTTATAATGATGATAGGGTACTGCCTCCATCTGAAAGGCAAAACCAAATGTCTAGTTTTCGTCTCTGCCGAAACTCAGCATTTAGAATACCCTTGGAGGCAAGAAAAATGAAGGAAAGACTTGTCCTTAGGTATACTGCCTCAAAGCAAATTTAGAGAACGGAGTACTGAAAGGATTGGTTTCTGAAGGTCAACTCCATAGCTTTAGTTTTGGAGGCTCTCAGTAAATGGTCTGTGAAAAGTGGTTACTGACAATATTTTAGAAACGTTAACGAGGTCCACCAGGAAGCAGGAGGCTCCAGCTGCATTCTCAGAATATATCTTACTCATCTTTGCATCCTCAGACCCCAGCACCAGTCCTGGCACCTAGAAGATGACAAATCCTTTTGAAGTGTTCTGAGCTCTCTTCTTTACAGGGTCTGTCAAGAAAGTAGTAACACATGCAAAACACAGCGGCTTCCTGTAGATATCCCATATTTGGTCTTCCTTAGTTTAACTTCTATTTCACATCTACACATTGTGATCATGAATATATATGAAGCCGAGGTCAGGTAAAGACCAAGAACTAAACATATTCCTCTGGGTATCTATTACGGAAAGAAGTGCTCCCAAAAACCAGAGTTTTAGGAGATCCAAGAGTTTAAAATAGGAAACATAGCCTTTCAGTTGTTGTGTAGCAAAGCTGATAATTTTTTTTTCTTTTGCACTGTGGGGAGTGAACCCTAGTGCATACTAAGCAAGCACTATATATATTTTTTTTTTTTTGTACTGGGGATCAAACTCTGGTCCTTGCACTTGCAAGGCAGGCGGCAAAACCACTGAGCTAAATCCCCAGCCCAAGCACTTTCTATTTTCCTCCAAGTCACTTAGAAAACTTCCTGTTCGCCAGGTAGTCTCATTGAGAAATTAAGCCATTTAGAGAGCTATGACCTTTGGACCACACACTAACCAAATGAAAATCAGAAACAGGAATGAGATCCCTTCCTCTTTGGCCCAATTCTGCAGGTCTTTTTTTATTTTTTATTTTTTTGGTACCTGGGATCCAACTCCCGTCCTTGCGCTTGCAAGGCAGGCAGTGGAATCACTGAGCTAAATCCCCAGCCCTGCAGGTCTTCCAAATATAGCTGGCATTCCCTTGGGCACTGCAACCTTCTCCGTGTAAACAGCCTGCATCCTCAGGCCAGTCCTCCAGACAGTGGCTGCTTCGTTCCCCTCTGCCTTCCTTCTCTTTCCTGAGCAGGCTGGCTGTGTTGGTTGTTTCACTGCTGGTTCTGCCCGGCTCACAGCCAGCCCTCCCCTGCGTGAGGCGCATCCTCAGCAAAACTGCTGTTTTCTCCAGTGATGCTATTTTTCATGGTGGAAGACTGGCATTGCGATATTTCAGAGATCGAAATGTAATTCAAACTTGAAGAGATAGGATTATTGCCATCTTTCTACATAGGACTACAGGGTGGACTGACACACACAATCACATATCCTCTTTATCACAGAAGATATCGCACACTTGGGATGCTTACATAAATCAACTACTCTGGGTTATAGCTAAAAATGCCTTGAATCATAAATGGTGTGCAGGTGGCTTTGCTACACCTGTGCTTTATAGAGGCTGACACCCATGTTGCCATTTCAGAGCAGAAAAGATATAATCTTGAAAAAAAGATGCTAGGACCTACTACCATTAGCTTCATTCTTCCCTTGCATTTATTTTTCCTGCTCTTCTCAACGACCTCAGACAAGCTAAGTACTAGCACCCTAGTACTGAAGCTCTATTTTCCTCCTTGAAGTGCTAGATTGAAGTCTCACACATGCTAGGTAAGTACTCCAGGGCTGAGCTATATCCCCATGACTGAAAATAATATTCCAAACTTCAAAGACTCCAAATAGGTCAGATGATAGGCTTGGAGGGGATGCAGCAGCCACAGAGGAGGAGCTGGCCTTTCTTCAGCCATGAGAAGTAACAGGTCCTTACAAATGCTTAGTCTGTGACCATGGCCAAGGGTTCTCTGTGGAATGCTTATGCCTCCAGAAGGCTCAGCAGAGGTGCCACTGGCTGCTGGCTCTTTGAAGTGCTCTTTGCCTGATGCACAGAGCCTGGACAACATGGTAACTTCAGCCAGCACTTCCACTGCCCAACCAGTTCATGTCATACAAGTACACTGAGATGAGGGCGATACAACTGGAGGGCTACAAAGTACGCACTGTAAAGTTCCTTCCCACTGCCCAGCCGTGAGCTCAATGCCCCTTGACAGGGGGACCCTTTTTTCTTGCCTTAGCAGCTAGTTCTTCTGACTTCACATTCTCCCATAGCTCACCAAGTAAAATAATAGCTGTCTCCAAACACTTGCTCGGTACTGATACAACTGTTTCATAAACTTATAAACCACCAGTGTTAGGCTACTGATGCAAAAAAAATTTCCCCTCGGGCTGGGGATTTAGCTCAGTGGTTTGGTGGCCTGCCTTGCAAGCGCAAAGACCCAAGTTCAATCCCTGGTACCACAAAAAAAAAAAAAAAAAAAAAAAAAAAAAAAAAAACCCCAAAAATAAAAAAAAAAAAAAAAAAAAAAAAAAAAAAAAAAAAAAAAATTCCTCAGTATTGGGAATTGAACCCAAAGGCTAGCCCTTTTTATATTTTATTTTGTGACAAGGTCTTATTAAGTTACTCAGACAGGCTGTGAACTAGGAATCCTCTTGCTAAGCCTCCTAAGTAGCTGAGATTTTTATCTTCGCAGTGCTGGGGTTAGAACCAAGGGGCCGCAGGCATATTAGGTAAGCACTCTCCCACTGAAGTACTCTCCCACCCTAACTGAAATTCTGACCTACTGTCAGAGACAAAAGAAAACCAGGACAGGAAGTGCTTCACCAGCCATTTCACTCTTCTTTAATTCTACTCTCTGGGAAAGTATGTTCTTTGCTACTGAAGGAGTTATGATAGTAAGGCTGACAGCACTGGTTCATAACATAATTTTTTGCACCAGACAAAGAGTAAACTGAATTAACAGGGCCACCTGCTGCCATGCCAGAGCTGCCTCCTTTGTTGCTAAAGAGAACTGCTGTGGGGGATGAAGGAAAAGATGGGAGCAGAGGAGGCGAGCAAACATGTAAATATATCTGAAAAGTAGAATTTGGTGGAAAATCCAGAATTTAATTAGGGATGATAAGGAACTATTGAGTAATAGTTCCATTATTTCCAGAAATTACTGAATTTGGAACCTGAGGTTAAGACTTTCAGGATAAAGCAACCCCCAAAAAGCTCAGACTGGCACTGAGAAGAAATGGCAACCATAGACAGTAATGGGGTGCTTGAGAACAGGAAACTGATGTGACTCAAAGTGGGGGAGGGGATATCTTCTTTAAAAATTAAGTTTGTAGCAAAAAAGAATAATTAAATTTGCAGCAAAAAAAAAGTCTGGAAGTGAAAGATTGAGCCTCTTCTGACCTTTCCATTTTGCTGCTAGGAGAGGCTCTCCTCAAAGTACCTCCTGAAAAAGTTCAGAATTCAATTAATACAGATGTATTAGGTTGATTTCCAACATGTAGCTTCAGAGTTCCATTTGGTTTTAGTCACTTCATTTAACCTCTTGGTAATAGTAGTCCTGAGTTTGCAGTGTTGGTAAAATCTGCAACCAAGGGTCACACTGCTGGTAGAAACACAGCAACTTCTTGGCCCGTCATGTTTCCTTGTCCTTGTCCCTCAAATCTGTAGGTCTTGCACCGAGGGACATAGTTCACTAATGATGAAGTAGATGCCTCCTCCCAAAGTCTAATAGTGCAGGTGGTGAAGAACACCTGGAAGGAAGCTGCCAAAGTCCAGCTGGGAGTTTTGACTCAGTTAGATGAGGACACAGGCAAATCCCTGTGTCCTTCCAGATTTTATTATAGTCAAAGGAGAAACATCCGTGAAATTCTAATGGCCAGTATGCTAGATATAAAATTGATGGAATGCTAACTGGTCCATAAAGGGCTGCACAAGGTAATCTGTGGCAAAGTAGAAAACAAGCCCGAAGGTGATAGAGATGGGAAGAGCCGGCAATGCTTTCTTGAAAATGGCGAGGAGCAACAGCGTAAGGCACAGGCCCTGTAGAAGAGAGAAAGGAAAAGGGACACATTCATGTGTAATTATGAAAGCACTGCAAATGAAAAAACTCAGTAGCAAGTCTTGGTTAACTCAATACTTTCCTCTGGGGTTAATTTTTGGAGCGGATGTTTCATTCAATCTAGAAGAAGAGCCATGAAACAAAAACACAGTTGCGGCTTCTATTTTGGTGCTGGGGACTGAAACTAGGGCTTGGTGTATGCTAGATATGTGCTCCACCAAAACTGTAGCGTCTTTCTTTTCTTTTCTTTTTTCTTTCTTTCTTTTTTTTTTTTTTTGGTACTGGGATTTAATCCAGGGCCTTCACACAATTTTTTGTTTGTTTGTTTGAGACAGGGTCTCATTAATGAACCGAGTTTCCCAAGTGGGACTCAAACTTAAAATCCTCCTGCCTCAGCCTCCAAGAGTACCAAGATTACAGGTGCACCACTACACCTAGCAAATGTAAGTTTTTGACAAATTTTTCTTCAGTACATAGAGTTGACTGTGAACACTGGTGATGTTTTTTTCCAATTCCAGGAAAAAAACAATATGAAAGTAAGTAAAACAATTTGAAAAAAATAAATAATACTGAGATTTATACCTATAATATTGCGTGGGCCTCTGTGATTTTAGTTTGGCTGTAATTTTAATTTAGTTTCCCAGGGGCAAAGAACACTCCTTGCACCATGTAGGGACAAAGACATGTTCACAGGAAAACTGATAACAAAGTGAGTGTGTGAAGAGTACACTATTTTCTTGTGAATACACAGCAGGTACACAGCATGGCTGGGCACCATTTCAGTTTACTGAGAATAAGTGATTAAAAAAAAACACCACACATGGCTGGGGTATGGCTCAGCAGAGCCACATGCCTCGTGTACATGAAACCTTAGGTTTGATCCCCAGCACCAAAAACAAACAAACAAACAAAGATACAATACAGCTAATACATACTTTCAAAGCCAGAAAACTAACCTTAGAAGGGAAATAAAATACATGAAAATTCTAGCTAGTTATGACCATAATAAATTACAAATGTGATCACAAAATGAACAATGCGTTAAGTTCTCACCTAACCGCTCCTGTAACCTCACCATTCATCACACTGTTCATCAGCAATATCACAGTTCCAGCACAAAGATCAGGAAGAAATAATGGATGGGCTGTTTACTGAAACCACATCTGGGAAATGGTCAGGGTTCATAGTTTTGCTGAGACCTACATGTAGGGCCTCCACAGCCTCTTCGCCCCTTCGCAACTGAGCTCCAGCAGAGCAAACTTCTCATTACTACTGTGCTGGGCTCCAGGCTATGGTTCCTGACCCAAGGGACTTGGGAGCTTCCTGGAGAACTAATGGAAACTACACAATTAAAACAAATGAAGACATCTCAGGGCAGAGCTCAGTTTTAACAGCCCCATGCAATTTTTACAAGAGGTCTAAGTGGAGAACCACTCAGCTCAGGCCCAGTTATGCAGGTTTACAAAAAGTTTTTCAGGTGGTTGGCACACTTGGCCCACCTGGGGTTAAAACTAATTGCGTTAGGGCCATGGATTTAGCTCAGCGGTTCCACCGCCTGCTTTGCAAGCACAAGGGCCCGAGTTTGAGTTTGATCCCCAGTACAAAAGAAAAACTAGGCTGGGGATTTGGCTCAGTGGTTTCGCTGCCTGCTTCAAAAGTGCAAGGGCCTGAGTTTAATCCCCAGTACAAAAAAAAAAAAACTAACTGCCTTAAAGGGACACCGTGGTGTACTCAGTTTTCGCATCATGCATTCTGACAGTTTTATTACTGTATACTTACAATTAATATGGCTACAAAACAGGCTATGGTTGTGTTCCAGTCTCCACTGGCAGTTGCTGAGGCTTTACCAACCAGAACACTGTAGAAAATGAAATCTCCCAATCCAAGTTTTACTCCCCCTGAAAAAGTGAGGATTTTTTTAATTCAAAAAAGTTATTCTTTGCTCTGATTTTATAATTCAAAAATATGATTCTGAGCTAAGAATGATGGTCTGCGCCCATTGTCTCAACTACTTAGAAAGCTGAGGCAGGAGGATCACTTGAGACGATGAGTTGGAGACCACTTGAACGAAAGAGATCCTGTTTCAAGAAAAATATGATCCAGCCCTGACTGCAAAGTCAATAAATGGTAGATAACCTAGCTCTAGCTAGGTTTTGATTTTTGAAACAGGGCCTTCAATGTTCTAGGTTGGTCTCAAACTCATTATGTAGCTCAGTCCTGCCTTAAATTTGTGATCCTCCTGACTCAGTCCCCCAGAGTGCAGGGATTATAGTTATGTGCAACCACATTCAGTTTTACTAGGTTTTCTTTATTTTTTGGTTTGCTACATTAGGAATTTCAGATTCTATGCAACTGACTCTGGAATCTCAATAGATGTTGCTTGTTATATTCCAGCAAATCCTAACTGTCATCCACTGAATGCCTACTTCATACCTAACACTTGTCCTAGTAAAGCCTCACAAGGACCCCTAAACAGCTTGGCCTGAGGTATCCTTTGTTTCATAAAATTCACCACTGTGTAAGTGTGTGATTGAATGAGACTGTGGAAAATGTGCAGAGGTATATAACCACTATCATGATCTACATTTCTAGGAGATACCTTGCACCCATTTACAGTTAACAACCCCTGGGCCCCTGGCCGGAAGTGACCACTCATCTGCTTTCTAGCTTAAATTGCCTTTTCTAGACATTTCATATAAATAAGACTCATACAAAGTGAAGTCTTTTGTGGCTGGAGTAAATGTTAATTCTTTAGAGGTTGTTTTGAAAACGTGCCTTTTAGAAACCAAATTCTAAAGTACACGGAGGCTTCCTTGTAACCATGTCTGGTCAATACTCCTGCAGTGAGAGGTGGTGATATATGTGCTGATCCTAAGAAGGTGAAGAGTGTGTTACTCAGTCCAGAAACAGAAAATGCTGAGCTGAAGTTATGAGGACCAGTAGTCAGGTTTTCCTTGCACATACTTTCCTCTGGGTCTTCACTGGCAAGGGTGTTGCTGGACAGTTCCTGGACAGCAGCCCTGGACTCGGGTGTTGAGCGATGAGGCCCCAGGTGACTGTCCCTCTGGGCCTCCCACTCCTCATTGAAGCCACCATCGTCGTTCTCTCTACCAGTATCCTGTGCCTCCCTTTCTGCGCCTTCAAGAGAAAGCAGAAATTATAGCTCTAATATTTAGAAGTATTTCTTAAAGCCTTTTAGAAAAATACATGGAAAAGGTTAACAACCTGTTACAGCAACTAGGTAAACAAGGTTTTAAACCACAGGATGAGCTGTGAGGTGCCAGCTGGCTGCCCATCCAGAAGCCATTTCGCCCTCATTTCCTGGTTTGCTAGGGTTTCCTTCTTTCACACAAGCTGAGCGATCACACAGCGATCCCACCATTCATTCCTCTTCCAAATCAAAGTCCTATGGCCGAGGGACTGTGACAGTACAAGCTAATGAGTGCTGAGCAAAGTCTATAGGCAATTTGGGGATTTTTTTCTCCTTTCTTTTTATGAGGAAGAAACAACAGTCCTTTTCTCCCCCTGTATGTCCTGGGATTGGATATGATTCCTAGAACTGCAGGAGTTGTGACCATGAGAAGCAGCTAGCTGAGGACCACCACCCTGTGCTAAAGATGGCGGAGCAAGATGAAGGAAAGAACTAGGCCCTTGTTAACATTACCAAGCCCCCAAATTAACCAACTCCATAAATGCCGATGCATCAGAACTTCTTCGAGAAGAGAGAATATATTTCCTTCTCTAAGGAACTGAGTTTATTTTTGTTCTCTGCAGCTGAGAGCCTCCTGCCTGCTGGCACAAACCATTGGCTTCAGTGACTAAATATAAGAGAAGATCCATGGAGATTGGTGAATTTCTTTATGGCCAGTCATTCTGTTTAAATGCTATCAGTCTGACTGAAAATGGTGACTGTGAGAAACTGCCACACATTAAAAATATTTAAATGCGTAAGTGGAATTTATAATACTTTCTCCCTCATCTCTTCTGCAGTGCTGGGAATGAAACCCAGGACTTTGCACATCCAGTATTAAGCAAGAACTCTAACTATTCCCCCATCCTTCCCTTTTATTTCCTATAAAAGTAACACACATTACAGTGGAAGTAGCTCTGTCATGAGTAAAGACTGCTTGTTTACTTTAGGGCTCTCAAGTGTGTACACTCCCTCTGCGAGGGCTTGAAGCAATTTTGTATTGCTTATTTTAATATTCGTTTTTCCTAAAGGGGTCTCTACAAAACGTGAATCTTAGCTGGTTCAGTTTACAAAACCATATAAGATTTATAAATAAAAGCACCAGTGTCTAACTGCCTCATCCTTCTGCAAACCTATCCTCCTTCTTACCTTCAACTCTTAGCAGCTTATTATGGCATTTATCTCCAAATTATGAATAGCATGCTCATGGTGCCAGGTCTTGATGTTTTAATTTTAGGTATTTATTCACACCCTCCCCCATATATATATACCTTTAACTCTTCCTATCTTCCCATTTATGTTGAACTATATTACTGCCTTGGAGAAAGTACTAATAAGCAAACTACTCTGTTATAGCTCCAATGTATAATTACATTTGCTTTTTTGGAACAATCTTGTATTCTCTGGAAAAGTGCCTTAGTTTTCCCCTTGACTTTTCTATGCATTATCTATGGCTGGGTTGTCCTGAACTCTGCCAGAATTCAAATGACACATAACCTCTCAGATCTATTTTTCCCTTGCACAGACCCTCTCGGAGCCCAAAGTTTTTCTGTTCTAATCTCTAACTTCCAGTTCCTCCAAAAGAATGGTGGTTTTCAACCAGAGGTTGTGCCTCCTTTGCTGGGGGTTTGCAGAAGGAACTAAAATGAAGGAGACTTTGGCGACTGCAGTGACTTAAGAGCCCCTACTGACACTGAATGAGGAGCGGGTACACCACCTACTCTGCAGGGAGTCCTCTCTCAATGCTGAGGTACTCTCAAGGAGGAGCTCTGCGGTCATCCAGCTCCTCCTCTCTGCAAAACCCTTGCCCACAGGTCCCACTTATGCAAAGGTCTTCTTCCATTCTGCTGTGAGCCGTCACCTGCTGTAACTTCAACAGTCCAGGATAAATAAAATTCCTGTACTATAAACATTTGCAGTAACTTATATTTTTCTTGGGTTTTTTTTTGAGACAGGATCTCACTATGTAGTTGAGACTGACCTGGAACTCACTATGTAGCCCAGGCTGGTCTCGAAATCACAGCGATCCCCCTGCCTCAGCCTCCCAAGTGCTGGAATTACAGGCATGTGCCACCATGCCCGGCCTATTTTTCTTTATAGTATATATCATAACTGTATGAAATATTTATGGAACTACTCAAATGCCTGTCAGTCAAAACGATTATAAGGGTCTAGTTTTAATCTTTGGCAGGTTGAGATCCAGTTTTTCCAACACCATCTATTAAAGAGGCTATCTTTCCTCCAGTGGGGATGGTCAGCTCCTTTGTCAAAGATGAGGTAGCTGAGTACATCTGGAGTTGTTTTTGTGTCTTCCAGTCTGTTCCACTAATCCTCAGGTCTGTTTCTTTGCCAGTACCATGCTGTTTTTATCACAGTGGCTTTGTAGTAAAGTTTCAAACTGGGAGTTGTTACACCTGCTGCCATGTGTCTGTTGCCTAGGATGGCTTTTGCTATTCTAGGTCTCTTATGGTTCCCAATGAATTTTTGGATTCTTCTTTCTAGTTCTGTGAAGTATAGTACTGGAATTTCAATTGCAATTGCATTGAATCTATACAGCAGTTTTGGTAGTATGGCCATTTTCACTACATTGATTCTTTCTACCCAGAAGCAGGGGATGTCTTTCCATTTTCTTATATTCTCTTCGATCTCTTTTTTCAGAGTGCTGTAGTTTTCAGTGTAGAGGTCTTTTGTTTCTTTTATTAGGTTGATTCCTAGATACTTCATTTAAAACAGGAAGAAATGTCTTGTTCAGTGCTATTATCTCCAGAGCTTAGCATGGTACTGGGCACATGGGTGGCTCAATCAGCATTTGTCAAAAAAACAACAAAAAAACCCTTGATTTACCAAATCCATATAAATAGATATATGTATAGTCACAGACAACATTTTCATTTTCTTTGGCTAAGCACGATAACCAGGCTTGTAGCAAATGTTTCCAATTATTTACTGCTCTTCTACTAGGTCTCCTACTGGTCTAATACCACCTTGTTCTGCTGCCTTACACAGTACAGAAAAAGCCTGATATCACTGGGTGATATTCCAAATTAGGAATCCAGAAAGTGGCCCCACTTTCAGTTACCCAAATGCTAATGTAGCAGTTCTCCTGGCTCTAAACTCTCCCTTTGCTAACAAGTCATACACATTTTCTTTTCTCACTAGTGCTTTTTTTGGGGAGGGGTACTGGGGATTGATCTAGGGCCTTCACACTGAGCTACATCCTTATCCCTTTATTTTTTTATTTTTGAGACAGGGTCTCGCTAAATTGCTGTTGCCCAGGCCAGACTTGAACTTGTGATCTGCCTGTCTCAGCCTCCTAGTATGCAATCTCTAGTCTTAGCTTTGCTTCTGCTTTTCAGGTTCCTCACAAGGTTGACACTTCGCTTTCTTTTTTTAAAAAAACGTTCTTTTCTTGTGTACTACTTATATTGTTTTGTCATATCTGAATTCTAAGAACAGCTTCTAATTTGTGTTCTCCTTTGTATCTTCCTTCTGTAGCATCCACATTAGGCCTTGCAAGCTCCTATCCTTCGTCATCATTATTATCCTCTTCTAGAAAGTCACATCCACCCAGAATATTTGACCATTTTAGTATAACCATTATCACATCTTAAATCAAGTATATTTATTACTCTGGTCATGTTGGACAACAGAGTCCTAACTTCACATGTTTGGAGAGCTTAGTTTAAAATATATATAT